TTAGTTGGGTCGAAAGAAAGTTTTGATTTTTGTGACAAATTTGTTAAATGGTCAATCTGGGTTTTGTCTCATTTCTTGAAGAAATTCTGCAAAGGGGACAGATAAGATGCTTTTGATTATTAGCAAAAAAATATATACTTATTTTACGGTTTTTTCCTTTGGGATATTTTGGTTATAGCACTTGGATTTGTTTTTGTTATACTCTAAATCACTATGCCAATGATGTTGCACAAGTGTACTATCCTACTGAATTTATCTTAAAGCATTATCACAATTCCAAGGAGTAAAAGTTCACGAGTTCTACAAACATCTAATATTGATATTGGTTATTGTAAGGCTATATAAAATATATGAATTTATATATCATTGTCTTCAATTTTTTGGCCTTGTTTTATTGTTAATGGTTCCTCCATTCGCCTTCCTTTGGGATGTCATCTTTCAGCTATGCTTGATCTGCTTTGATTGCATCTTAATAATCACAAAACTTAAAAGAGTTCATGAACAGAGGAATTTTTGTTGGCAATATGTTTGATTTCTGAAAATTGATGTTTTTTGGTAGTTGTTAGCTTCTATTTAGTTATATATGATAATTGTTAGATATGATTAGATATTAGTTGATATTGTTTGATATTGTTGAGATATTGTTAGATATTGTTAATCACAATATCAAATAATATCTTTTTATTTACTCTATTTGTATTCTGTTACTCTGTTGAGGAGTACCTTTCTTTATTATAAATACACTGCCCTATGTGTGGTAAATACATAAGGGGAAATTAACCCTATACAGTTTTTCCCTATATTCAACATGGTATCGAGCTTAAGGTCTCTTGGGATTTTTTTCGGCTCTGCCACTGAACCTGCAGCTGTCGCCGCCTCCATCGCCGCCGCCGTCGCCACCGCCGTCCGCCGCCGTCACCAGAGTAGCAGTTCGGACCGCCGAGCACGGGGTTTTGCTCGCCTCCTCCGTGCGACCTCCACTGTGGAAGTTTCGCGGTCATCGGAGCGGCCACGCTCCCTCACGCGCCTCCGAAGCCGCGCCACCCTCTCCCGTTCGCCGCGCGTGGCGGCGCGTCTCGCCGCCGTTCGGCCGCCGATCTTTGCGCCGGCGTCGCCTCCTTCTCCTCTCTCTCGGATCTGTCCTTGCTGCTCCAATCGGACCTCTTTGGTGTTTTAGGGTTTTTCTCTCTCTTCCTCCATGGCATCTTCCGCCGCCACTTCCAATCTCGAAGTTACCTCTGTCAGCTCCGATGGGTCCGAGCAATCTGTTTTTACTAATTATGTCAATGTGAATTTACCCATTGATAAATTAGATGGTACGAATTATGCAACTTGGGCATCCGATATTAGACTTTGGCTTGAGAGTCGGGGGTATGTTGATCATCTTACTACCAAGGTAGATGATGTTCCTTCCAATGATCGTGTCCGTTGGAAGAAAGTTGATGCTCATATATGTATGGTTCTCAAGAATACCATCCAATCTTCTTTAAAACAAATTTTTCGATCGTATGGCACATGTTATGACGTTTGGGAACAAGCCAAATTATTATACACCAATGACACTCAACGTCTTTATGGTGTTTGTTACAATCTTCTTGATGTTATTGCTCCTCGAGATAAGGATCCTGTGGCGGATTATGTGGGTAAGATCCATGCTCTTCTCCATGAATTTAATGAGTTATTACCCCCTGCCTCGACTCTTGCCCAAGAATTAGAGCAACGATCAAAGTTTTTCATGGTTTTGATGTTACACGGACTTGCCGATAAATATGCCCCTGTTCGTGACCGGATTTTGGGTTCCCCTGTTACACCCGGTTTACCGCTACCAGTTCCTCCCTTTGCGGGTGCCATGTAAACCTCTCAATATTCCCCTGTAGTTTCTAATGATTCATCTCGCCTTGGCCTCTCACCGTGATGATCGTAATCGCTCTCACAAGCCAGGCAAAGGGCGTGTCAAGTGTGACCATTGTGGCAAACTAGGCCACAAAATTGACAAATGTTATGCTTTACATGGTTATCCTCGCCGATCTGCTGCAGTTGCTCAGACTGATTCTTCCGCACAATCCTCTGCTGTGGATCCTCCTTCGTCTGTACCTTCAGACAAATCTGCTATCTTCAATGATTTTCTTCAATGGTATGAGGATTGAAAGCCCTCCAGTTCCACTACTTCTGTTGCCCACACAGGTACTTCTTTTGCTGGTCTGACTCACTCTTCTTCTATTGGCCCTTGGGTTCTTGACTCAGGCGCCACCGATCACATCACTAGTAACAAATCCTTATTTTCCTCTTTCACTCCTTCTCTTAATCGCTATTTTGTGTCTGCCGATGTCACCTTCAATGAGTTTTCCTTTTACTTTAAGGACCCTTCCCTACCTGCTGAGTCTCCATCTGCTACAGTTCCCATTCCTGTTCTCATTGATCCTTATGTTGAGGACCATCCACCATTAGCCCCTCCTCCTCCACCACCCCTTCAGGTTTATAGTCGCAGACCTCGCCCACAACAGACGCCACATGACTCACTCCCAGTGCCAAATACTCGCCTCCTCCGGCTTCGTCCACGAGTCCGACCTTCCTATTGCCCTTCGTAAAGGTACGCGTTCTACTCGTAATCCTTCTCCACATTATACCTGCTTTAAGTTATCATCGAATTTCTTCACCATTTTATACCTGTCTCTCGTCTATTTCTTCTGTGTCTATTCCTAAATCTGTCTCTCGAAGCCTTAGCCCACCCTGGTTGGCGTCGGGCCATGCTAGATGAACTCGGTGCTCTTCGAGACTAGTGGAACCCGGACGCTTGTCCCATTACCATCCGGAAAATCTGTTGTTGGTTGCAGGTGGGTCTTCGCTATCAAGGTTGGTCCTGATGGTACTATTGATCGCCTCAAAGCTCGCCTTGTAGCCAAAGGCTATACCCAAATTTTTGGGTTGGATTATGGTGATACTTTCTCTCCAAGTGGCAAAGATGGCTTCGTTCGTTTATTCATTGCCATGGCTGCTATTCAACAATGACCTCTTTATCAACTCGGATGTCAAAAATGCTTTCTTGAATGGCGATTTGCAAGAAGAGATTTATATGGAGCAACCTCCCGGATTTGTTGCTCAGGGGGAGTCTTCTGGATTGGTATGTCGTCTTCGCAAATCTTTATATGGCCTAAAACAGTCTCCTATTGGAAAATTTAGCAGCGTTGTTCAACAATTTGGCATGACTAGAAGTGAGGCAGACCACTCAATCTTTTACCGTCACTCGAATGCTGGATGTATCTATTTGATAGTATACGTCGATGACATTGTTCTTACAGGTAGTGACCATCATGGCATCTCTCAGATGAAACAACACCTTTGCCACCATTTTCAAACCAAAGATCTTGGCAAACTCAGATATTTCTTGGGTATTGAGGTAGCACAATCTACCGATGGCATTGTTATATCTCAAAGAAAGTATGCATTGGATATTCTGGAGGAAACTGGGTTGATGAATTCAAAGCCTGTTGACACACCCATGGATCCTAATACCAAACTCTTGCCAAATCAGGGGGAGCCAATGTCAGATCCTGAACAGTATAGAAGATTAGTTGGAAAATTAAATTATCTTACAGTTACTCGCCCTGACATTTCCTTTGCAGTCAGTGTGGTGAGTCAATTCCTCAATTCTCCTTGTCAAGATCATTGGAATGCAGTCATCCGTATATTGAAGTACATCAAAAAGTCTCCTGGAAAAGGTTTGGTGTATGACTCTCATAATCATACAAGAGTTGTCTCGCTATTCGGATGTCGATTGGGCAGGATCTCCTCTCGATAGAAGATCTACATCCGGGTATTGTGTTTCCATTGGTGGTAACTTGATCTCATGGAAAAGTAAGAAACAAAGTGTTGTGGCAAGATCCAGTGCAGAAGCAGAGTATAGAGCTATGGCCTCAGCTACCTGTGAACTTATTTGGCTCAAGCAATTGCTTAAAGAGCTACAATTTGGAGATGTCACTCAAATGACACTAGTGTGTGACAATCAGGCTGCTCTCCATATAAGCTCTAATCCTGTCTTTCATGAGAGGACTAAACACATTGAGATTGACTGCCATTTTATTCGGGAAAAGATTATGTCTGGAGACATCAAGACTGAGTTCGTTAACTCATGTGATCAATTAGCAGATATTTTCACTAAGTCTTTACGGGGACCTAGGATGGATTATCTTTGTACCAAGCTAGGCACATACGATTTGTATGCTCCAGCTTGAGGGGAAGTGTTAGATATGATTAGATATTAGTTGATATTGTTTGATATTGTTGAGATATTGTTAGATATTGTTAGATATTGTTAATCACAATATCAAATAATATCTTTTTATTTACTTTATTTGTATTCTGTTACTCTTTTGAGGAGTACCTTTCTTTATTATAAATACACTGCCCTATGTGTGGTAAATACATAAGGGGAAATTAACCCTATACAGTTTTTCCCTATATTCAACAATAATGATGCACAACTCATACTGGTGCTGCAGAATCTAAACTCAAAAGTCAAAACGAATGTCATGTATATATATGAATCCAACTTCCAACAATTTGGTATTTATACAACTACGAGTTAACCACAACTTGCCCGAGAAAGAAGGAATGAAAGAGGAATATATGACGTAATTCCGATTAATGTATGCATCTGATGATAAAAACGTAAAAAGTATGAATAAAGAATAGATTGTTAAAAAAATTTACACATTATTTTATCATAGTTCATAAATCTGTTATGAACGATAATTTTATTAGATAATTATCTTAAAAATCATTTCTTTCTAATCAATGGTGGTCTTTTGTGCAATATGTAACGTATCAATTTATCAGAAGGCTATTAGTGTTGGATTTCTGAGCTTGCAATTACATTGGGTTGTTGTTTTTAAATGACTGCAGTTTGGACCTGAAAACCAACTCCTGGTTTAATTGTCTCCTTGGGTCACACATTTATTACTATTCTTCTCTTGTCAATTGGTCAAATATATGCTCCAACTATGGATAACACGAAGAAAGATGAACCAGAAGATTGTCATCAAGATGAACTTGCTGAATCGATCGATGATCTATTTAGTAGCATTTCCACCATGATCAAATCCGAGCTTCAGGTGAAACCTCAAATTCTTTCTTTCTTCCATGTGATATCTTATTTTTCATATGTTCAATGAACACTCAGTGAATTGAAAATGTAGCATGGTTTGGAAAGTTGATTGTACTTTTTATTTACTTATTTTGTTATAATATGATGAATTTGTGTTAGGGGACAAATAATCACCTGGAGTTGTTGGAGAAGATGAACGTAAGGGTGGGAGAAGAGTACAAAGGATTTGGTGACTTGGCTTCAGGGTTGAGGGTTTTTGTGGAGCAGTTGAAATACAAAAGTGGCAACTTCAATGAATATGTTGAGCAGATTGATAACATAGAGAAGCAGGTGACTGAGTTTGAAGCTGTGGTCTCTATGCTTGACAAGTATGTCGCTTCTTTGGAATCAACAGTGCAATCTGTGTACCAACCCAAAATCCATCTTCCTAATCAACAATGATGTGAAACTTTTACTTTTCATTATTAACATTTACATTGTTTCCTAGTCTCAAGTGATTGAATTTTTAGATTTACAATCTTGGTTGATTTATATATTTTCAAAAGCAGTTTAAAAAGATGCAAATGAGAGCATGTTGAATTGTTATTGACAAGCGTACCAAAATTATTAATCGCAGTATAATATTTCGATTAAATAAAAGTCGATCCCACGAAGAACGGTTTCAATAGATATTCTCAATTTTATGCTTATTAAGTAGATTAAAATAAAATGGGTTTTGCATAAAGAGTTGAATTGAAATTAAATGACAAAGAACTGTAAATTGTTAACAAAATATCAATTAAAGACACTTAGGATTGACTTCCTTCCTTATCCCTTTTTTGTAATGATTATGTCACTTAAGAACGTCAATTAACTTAACAATGTTGATGTCACCTACTCAAATCTTCTATGCTGATTCCTTACACATGAAATTCATAAGAAAACTTAATAAATGTTGATTTTTCACATGATTAAGAGATTTTTCAGCATTAGGTTTAAGGTGTTAAACAATTGATACATTTCATTCCTGGCAATTAACGTAATAAATACTCTTACCGTGATCTAGGGTTCAAGATATATTTTCCATTAATACCCCAAACATCAAGAATAAATCATTCCAAAGCACAAAAGATAAGAAAAATATCATCAAAACATAGATTAATATCTCAAAATATCACCATGATACAAAAGAGTTCAAAGGAAGTGCACTCAATCCCAAGAGAATGAAGTTAGTCACTCATGGTGGTCATTACAATGCTCCAAATGTGGAAGAAGTGAAGAATTGATGAAGATTGGATGAAATCCTAGCAGTAGTCACGCCTCTTCTCCCAAAAACCGCTTGTTTTTCTCAAAATACATCTTCTCTTTTTATACAAAAAATTGGGTTTTTGGGCTTCGAGTCTTTCGCTCAAGCGAAAGTTGTCTATTTTCGCTCCAGCGACAAAACGCTCGCTTGAGCGAGTAAACTCCAGATAAGAATAACTAACATTCGCTCAAGCGAATTTTCTTGCGCTTGAGCGACTGACTTTCAGAGAAGAATAACTGATATTCACTCAAGCGAGAGTCCATCCCGCTCGATTAACTTCCATGCTGAAAATCTTCTTCCATTTTCCAATTTTACTCCAATTATGCTCCTTACTCTTGTATCAAGATATTCTCAAATTCATCCTATATTGAGAGAAAATAGATTAGAATTAACATAAGTTAAGTGGTTTCATAACAATTCAAGGCATAATTATATCAACTTTGTACCATTTAACAGAGCATATATTTTGAATCACTTGTGATCTTCCATGCCTTATTACAATGGCTAATTTGACATCAAAGTTTTGCTTAAGAAAGAAGTTGATACATATGAGAGTTCTAAGATGTGAAAAACAAGTTTTAGAATGTACTTCAAACAATCTTTAAATCAGATAACTATGTTTTGATTATTCATTTATATTGTTTTAATGCTTCTTTTATTATAGTCAAGTGTTGAATTGTTTTTAAAACTTAAAATTGAACAAAATTACAAATTATTAAGAATAAAGAGGTAAAAATAAAAATAAAATAAAAAAAGAAAGACTGAAATTACAGACCGAGCAAAATGTAAAAAGTGAAATTACATATTAACCGAAAAAACTAGGAATAAAAATTACAGATTTCCAAAAATATAAACACCAAAATTGCATAAAAGATAATGTAAGAATAAAAAATACATGTTTTACAATATATATATATATATATATATATATATATATATATATATATATATATATATATATATATATATATATATATATATATAACGAATCATTTATCGAAATACATTTTTAGCATGTTTTATCTCCTACATATGCCACTAAATATTACTTACCTTACTAAATATTATTTTCATCAAAGTTTTGACAATAATAACACACATTAACATAATATTCTTGCTATAATATTGTTTGTATTACTATTAAATGTTTATTCAAGTTATGCATTATATAAATTATCAATTTGTAATAGGCATTATTTTAAATTTAAATAATTATAATCTCACTTATTGTGTTTTCATTTGCTTTAATATCGTATGTATTATTATTTTTTTCTTGAGTAATAATTTAAAATAATCATTTAATATATACATTTTTAAAGTCAAAATCACGTTAATAAAGAGTCTATCCTTTTCTTTATTAATATAATGATATTTTACTAATTATATTTTTTAAAAATAATTTATTAAAATAAGATAATATGATTTAAAATCAGATACACAAAGTAAGGTTTATGATTTCGTAATAATAGTAATAGTAACAGTAATAATAAAACAAAATAATAATAAGTTGGTTTTGGCGTAGGCTCACCGCGATGGTCACGTCACGGAAGCCAAACGGAGTCTCCACAACAACCCAATCACTTTCACTTCTCACAATTCAGATCGTCGTTTGTCAACCCTCAAACCCTTCCTTCAAATTCACCCATTCACTACTCTCATTCTTCAATCCGCGTTCTTATTTCCAGTCGAAATCTCAATAGGGAAGTGGTTCAGAATCAGAACAAAATCGAATGGTCGTTTTCTTCCCCTAATCGATTGGCAATGAAGGCAGGGAGTGCTGCCAAGTTGATCGTCGACGCTCTGCTTCAGCGCTTCCTCCCTCTTGCACGGCGTCGTATCGAAACCGCGCAAGCACAGGTATTTGCATTCACACCTCTATTCGCTTGCAAACCAACTTTCCAATTTCGTCGTTTGGATTAACGCCTGTGATGGGGGTTCCCCGTAGGATGGGCAATACCTGCGACCATCTGATCCGGCCTACGAGCAGGTGCTCGATTCCCTCGCAATGGTCGCGCGGCACACTCCTGTTCCTCTGTTAGAAGCTTTGTTGAAATGGAGGGAGAGGTTAGGCTAATTAACCCTTCCTCTTTTTCTTTTCTTTTTCAGTTCATCTTAATTAATTAATTAATTAGTACTTTGTTCTTATTTTTGTTTACAGTCTGATTTTTTAACATAGCTCGTATTGTTTAGTTTAGGCTAAAATGCACTCTTGCTCATCCACCTTGCGTTTAGTTTGATAACATAAGTTTAAAAAGTTTCACTACGTAACCGAATGGATTTTTCGCCGACGTCTCTCACACCATGTTGGATAAAAGTTAAGTTCATCTTTGTAACCTAGTTCGTGGAAGTTCTCTCACATTACCTTCTTTAAAATCAAAATTTTAACTAATACAGAAACTGATTTTACTTTTTCTTTTCCTTCTCCTAGAAGTGTTTAGGGAAAAATTATCCAAAAAGTTTACAGATAAACTTATTTCACTTTTTCTTTTCCTTCTCCTAGAAGTGTTTATGGAAAAATTTTCCCCAAAAATTTATGGTAGAAACATATTTCACTTAGTTTGTGCATTGGAGAGTGTGTTTATCCATTTGAAAATCTTCAAACTGCAATGCAAACATTTTCAGAGTAAACTATGTGTCACCAAGTTAGGGTGTGTCTGGAAACTCATTTGATTGTGTGGTGAGGTGAACTTATGGACTGCCACTTGGTCTGACGTAGACACTTTTAAAGACCAAAGTGAAAGATTTTAAACGTAAGGGACCAAACTAGAAAAAAAAAATGTACAAGAGACCAAAAGTATATTTTTGTCTTTGGTTTTTATGTGAAAATTTGTTTTAGTTAAATGACTCACTGAAACGATTAATTTTTATTTTTTTTTGTAGCGAATCTCCCAAGGGTGCCAATGATGCATCAACATTCCAAAGAAAGGTTTGTGTGCAATAATTTAATGAATTCTTGGATAATTTTGAATTTCGGCTTATGTGTTTTGGTTTTGTTTTGAGAACAGTGGTAGTTTGTTTGGAGGTCGATGATAGTGTTCTTTTTATGTAATTCAGCTTGCAGTGGAGTGCATTTTTTGCTCAGCATGCATACGCTTTGTGGAGTGTTGCCCACAAGAAGGACTTACTGGTTTATGTTATGCATATGATATTCATTTATTCAGTTAATTTTTTTGTTTTTTTTTTTTACTTATAGCCCTTGATTGTTTGTTGTTACAGAGAAACTGTGGTCTGGGCTCGAAAATTTTGTTTTCGACTGGTTAATAAATGCTGACAGGTATTTCTCTTGGACATGGAAATAGGATATCCTTGTAGCGTGCTCATAGTTGATAAGATTATTTTCTTAATAAAGCTATAAACTCTCCTAGAGCAATTGGACCATTTGCAATGATTAATGTCCAAATTATATAATATAGGGTTTGTCAAAAGGATTAGTGATAAGTTAGGTCATGGAGGTTGTTACTGCTTTTGTTCCATGTTGAAAAGAGAGAAACCAAGAAGGAATACAATGAATTCCGTATGTACACATAGTATTTTTATTTATAATGAAGAGATATAATAATATGAAACTGTTGAAAGTCCCACATTGCCTACTTCATATCATTTGGTATGGTTTAAATACATGTTAGGCTACTCCACATATTGTCAATTGGTTTTATGTTGGAACCTTAACATGGTATCAGAGCCAAAACCTAACATCTTTCCGGTTATTGTCATGGGCCAAAAGTTGCTCTTTAGTTTGGTCAAAAGTACCCTTTGCCTGGTCCGGCGGGCTTCGTTGGAGGGGGTGTGTTGAAAGTCCCACATCGCCTACCTTCATTTGGTATGGTTTAAATACATGTTAGGCTACTTCACATATTGCCAATTGGTTTTATGTTGGAACCTTAACAGAAACAAAATCAATATATAATAATGAGAAAAATATTTGGTAAGATATTTTTGTACCAAATCATATCATATGTTCCAATTTATGCAATCAAATTATATCTCTAATATAATCAAATCATATCTTAACAGGGTTTACCTATCAAATACTTTTTCACTTCTTTAGTTCAGAATGTGGATGGCAATCTTAGGTTCTTAATTGCTTAAGACTTTCAGTATTCAAGATTATGTCATTCTAAATTCTCAACAGTTTTAAACTTTTCCTATATTTTGCTCATGTTTATGTCGAATGCTTTGCTAGTGTGAAAAGAAAGAAAATTCAGATACATAAACATCTGGCGTCTCACCAATGATTGTTAACCATTGCTTTTGGGAAGTTTTTCCTAGTATTAAGATAATAATTACTGATAGTTGAAGTCATTCGAAAACACTGTAGACTAAGATCGATGACACATTCACTCAGGGGTCTATCAGTTCTGCAGTGTCCTTGACCTGTATGTTTGAAGAGTGCCTTCTTTTTAGGTTTAATTGCACTTTTGGTTCCCATGTACGATAAACATACGATTTTAGTCCCCCAGGTTTCAATTGGATCCCCTAGGTATTAGAAACAAGCGATATTATAATTAGTCTCTCAAGTTTCAATTGCATCAATTGGGTCTTTCAATGACAATTATGCAATTTTAGTCATTCCATCACAAATTCATGGACCCATGGTAGGTGACACGTCCTCAGGGAATGCCATGCTAGGAGATTCCAACTGATGGAGGGATGAAAATCACCCAATTGCAATATGTAATTGGAACTTGGGGTACTAAATTTACATGATTGTGATACTTGAGGCATTCAATTGACAATTGAAATTTGAGGAAGTAAAATCGCACAATTGGGTTACCTAGATGATGAAAAGTGCACTTAAGTCATTTTTTTTACAAGTGAACTAAAGCATGGAAAAACCCCCTTGAAATGTCCATCAGTTTAATCTCACAGTGAAGCCAAAAGGACATCTTGTCCAATAACAAATTATGAATAGAAAATCTAATGATTGTAGGTTAAAGTATTAGCCTTTCAATTCAGCTAAGCACCAAAAACCTGAAAAGGCAGATCCCTGCTTCAAAGGATATTGTGGAAATTAAAGCGATTTTAAGGGAAGGAGGACGAAATAGAAGATTCTTAATAATTAACTTGTTTATAACACCCTGATAGATGTGAGTGAGATGATATATGAAAGTGATAAGTACCCGAGCACTGGGGGAACCCTCCTTCAAAAGCTAGTTATTAAGGGGGAGAATCAAACACTTAAATACTCCTCTGAGTATCTCATACTACATCATGTGAGACTTCATAATACCCAAATCCCTATTATAGCACCATCCTTATGTGTTTACGGCTCGATGACTTTCATTATACAATGCTTCACTTGGTGACACTTTACTCAACTTCCTCCTTGTTCAGATACCTTCAAAGGTTTTTCACTTGGGGAATCCACCCTCAAAAGCAAACCCTTAAACACTTACCTGAACATACCATGTTACTCATTGTAGCACCACATAATACCAATGTCTATATCAAAAAGACATAGCACTAAACTCTATTTATGCTAATAAAAGATTGTCAATCCTAATTAAACTAGGAAACAAAGAATGAAATATAAGGAAATTTTGGAAGCAGCCCTAAGAGATGATATAACATATGTTAAGATATTCTAACTAATAATGATTTTACTTGATATTTACTAGATTTTCTTTTAAAATATATCTTACACTATTTCTTTGATCAAAACCTCTTGGATGAATATATAGAAATGGTCTTACAGTGCAGGCCAACTGCTTCCATGAAATTGTTGAAATTCATTTCCAGAGCTGCTATTTGTTGTGAGTAGTTAGTCTTCTACTTGTGATGCTCCTTTTATTTGTTACATAGTAGTTAGTTGTGGCTTTTGTTAGTGGTTTGACAGAGAGCTCTAACTATATATTGTAATTGGTCTCAGTTCAGAGATAACTTTTCCAATAATAGAAGGCTAATTCAAATAGCATCTCAGATTTCCCTCTGTTTTTGCTAACCTCTTATTTCATTTGTGTGAATCCTACTATTTTGCAAGTCCCATATTTTGCACTGGATCCTTAATCCCACTACACCCTCAGCCCCAGCACCCATGTGGACTCACATGAAAATGAAAGTGGAAGCTAGGGTTCAATGGGCTTCGTCTCCCGAAAGTTCTAGGAAGAGTGTTGGAGACCCTTTTCTGAAAGTTGTAGCTTGACAAGTTCCATGATGCTTTTGGCAGACATTATCACAAGATCAAAAAGAGATTCACAAGACCAGCTCTGCACCAGGCCGCTAACAAAGGGCAAGGGGTTTCTCTTGTAGGCCTGTCTAGTTCATTAGGCCCTTACTGATGAATGAGAAGATTGATTTTCAAAGCAAAGGAAATGGTCCCTCTCCTCCATGAGGGGATGCTATAAGAAAGAAGATATGATCTGGGGCTAGTACTTATTATTACACAAGCAAGTAGCTGACAACTCTCAAATACATAAAAGCCAAAAAGAGTTAGCCTTCCTTTCTACAAGGTTAGGGTTTGGATTGGAATGCTTACAAAATGGTAAAAAGGACTGGTTGTCACTAGTCTTTTGACTGTTTCCATGTGAACATTGGAATGCAGGAATCACCATTTGTTTGCTGTTGATAGACATGGTGGAATGTCCTGATATTAAGAACCTTGAGAGAATCACACCACAAAAGCTAGCTATTGTAGTTGGAGAGCCCAAAATCTTATAAACCACAGACTATAATCCCATACTCCCAATGGACTCAAGTCCCATGCCTTGAAGTTGGATCCTAACATGAAGTGAACACAGCTGAAATGTCCTTGTGGTGTCTTAATGTGTGTAATAATTGTATAAGATCAAGAGACTCTTCTTTTCAATTTGATTTTTGGAATAGTCAACATTGGAAGTGTTTTAGTATAGTTAAGCTGAATTATAGATAGAGGCGGAAATGAATTGAGCTGAGTCGGGTTTCTGAAGCTTGGGTTTGTCTTGTAAAAAGAATTGAATATTCAAGGTTGATTCATTTATTTAACGAGCTTAATTGAAAACTGATACACTGCTTTTATTATGTAAAGAGTATAGATACAAAAGAATACCGAGACTCTGTTTACAAGTCTCAGTTTCAAGAGTTAGTTGTAATCGTCTAGCTTAGACAGTTACACTAAACAGTTAGAACAGTTCTATCAAACTAACCATCACAATAAAAATGTCTTGCAAAAGTATTACACACACAAAGCTTGAGTAAAGAAAAAGGTTTTGAGCTTGCCTCTTTAGCTCATTTATAACTTATATATTTTTACTCTTTAATTTAACATTATCTATATTTCTAATTTTAACCCAAAAAAAGAGATAAAAATAAAAGGTATTTTTTAATGAATATTAGTTGAAGAAATGTAAAACTGTTTTTATAAAACTTATATCGTTTATTTAATATATATGTATATAATATTTATTGATTTATTTATTTATATATGTATAAGTGAACTATTCAAGAGCCTATTGTATCTATCTTTTAAAGGTTGAGTTGAGCTCGACTCCTCTAACTATTCAAGCCTAATATCAAGTTTGGGCTTGTTTATTTAACTAAACATGGCTTGAACAAGTAATTAAAGAGTCATGGCCAAATAATTCATGTATAATTCTACTCATTTATGCCCCAAATTACATATAAGATTAGTTTGAAATCATTATTATATATGTTTTCAATCAGACTAGAATATGGTTTTTTAGATACAAAAATTTATATAGATTCATGATTAGGTTTTTGTAAAATTTTTAATTCTTATATGAACTTTGGTGTGAACTTAGTGAACTCTTGTTGCAGGGTTGTTAGCCAGGTTGAATATCCCTCATTGGTTGATCTGAGGGGGCTTCTTCTGGACTTAGTTGCTCAACTCTTAGGTGCGCTGTCCCGCATCAGGTATATCTGACTTATCATGGTTGTTTTGTATGATTGAAAATTATTTGACGATTATGTGGTTAACACATATTTAATGAATACATCTTCATATCAATCACATGCACAATTTGACGGGGGCTTTATGAGTTATAGATAACCTATATCCTGAAATCTGATTGATTTTTTTTTTTTTTTTAATAAGCGTTTTTGTTCTTTAGGAAAGTTTCATGTGGTTTACTGCCTTTTAAGTATAAGCATTGTACTCAGCCCTGACAAATGAAGACTATTGGTGTCACAGGAGAAATTCAATAATTTATGATTTAATTCTTTAGTGAGGTGTAATATTGGTGAAAAGTTTATGCCACTTCATATACCTCTATCAGTTTTCTCTGATTTCTTAGTTTTGATGCCTTTAAGATTCTATACAAAAGGAAAATCACCAGCACATAAAATTCTTGAGATGCGAATATCCTTGTGTGCATAGTGCTGGCTTTTCTTGTTTGAATATGATTTTATTGTCTTTCTTGTCTTTTCATTCTGTACTGATATAACTAATGTTCTATCAGAACCTGGCATTCATTTGTTGAGTTAGTTGCAGTGAAGGCAACAAGTAGTGTCCGAGGATATCTTTAAAACATAAAATATAGTTATTTACCAATTTAGGAAAAAAATGAAATGCATATGGAAGTTTTCCATCTCAGGTGGGCTTATGTCTCCTTAAATATTAAAGCTTTGTAAAGTTGACATTATAAACTTTGGGTGTGTTTGTGTGTATTAAATTTTAAAATTTGATGGGTGATTCTGGTTCGGTTCTAGTGGGATAAGGATGTTGTTGTTGGATGATTCTGCAATCGGCCCTTTTTACTATCAGTCAGTTAGTCATGGCCGATCATATGAATCTTAGCCATTATTGTATTGCTTTGTTTCTCAACTAAAAAATTGTTTTATTGTTTCATGGTATTTCTTTTCTTGTTTTTATAGGTTTAGTTCTGTTACTGAGCGTTTTTTCATGGAACTCAACACCCGTCGAATTGATACTAGTGCTGCTAGGAGTGAAGCGCTAAGTATCATTAATGGGATGCGCTACCTGAAACTTGGGGTATGTGTAATACTTAAATGTTTCATGTAAAGTATTATATTGTACTTGTATTATTTAGTGTAGGCACTTTCTCAGGTTAAAACAGAGGGTGGATTAAATGCATCAGCTTCCTTTGTTGCAAAAGCAAATCCTTTAAACCGTGCTCCTCATAAACGGAAAAGTGAGCTTCACCATGCTCTATGCAATATGCTTTCAAACATCCTAGCACCGCTTGCAGATGGTGGGAAAAGCCAGTGGCCACCTTCTGGTGTAGAGCCAGCACTTGCATTGTGGTATGAAGCTGTTGGACGGATAAGAGTTCAGCTCATGCATTGGATGGATAAACAGAGCAAACACATTGCGGTAAGCTGTTATCTTATTACTTTTCCTTGTCTTCTAATGTTAATTTTGCTGAAGTTTTTTTTTTTTTTTTTTGTGTTGTCATCTAGGTTGGGTACCCACTGGTGTCTCTTCTTTTATGTCTTGGTGATCCTCAAATATTTCACAACAACTTAAGTCCTCACATGGATCAACTCTACAAACTTCTTAAGGTATGTTTAAATTCAATTCACACATGCTTAGTTTCATTTGAATTGTGGCAAGGCAAACAATAAACTTGATAGAAATTATTATATAAGAGGTTAAATGAGATTTGAGCTGGAATTTGAATTAAACAGTTATATAATTTTCTATGCATGGTAAAAAGCTTATGTTTCGGTTAAGTATGCCTCATCACTGCTAAACATACTTTTTGTATGAGGAAAAAAATATGTTAAAAATTTGTTTTGTTTCCTTTCCTTTGCTTACTCTCTCTCTCTCTCTCTCTCTCTCTCTCTCTCTCTCTCTCTCTCTCTCTAGCTATGGGGATACTTCTCTTAAATTTACTTTCTTGAGATTAGGGTTTAATTTTATCAACAGGCAAAGTTTCCTCTAATAAATAATTTGCATCATGGCTCATATATTTATATTTTCTCATTGAATTTCTAATATATAGTTGTCATTTTGTACTCTAACATTTTTCAATAGCTAACATGCGTTTTATGAAGAGGGAGGAGCATCTTATCATCTATAAAAGTGGGGTTGATATTATTTTTAAGTAAATTAGATAATAATTTTTTATTGAACTTCAAAAGTTATACCTGGAGAGAGCTTAACCACCTATTGCTTGGAAGAGAATACTCTTATTGAGTATCTCTGTATAAGTGTATAGCTCTGATACCATAGTGAAGTGAGAGAAAACTCAAATATTATTGTTTATTTATTGAATGTATGAAAAGTACAAGTTATTTTTAGCCTTTCGTATCAGGTCCTAGGTTCCTGTTTTAATCCAGAAAACCCTTTGTGCAGTTTGCTAACAAAGGTTTAATTAGAGAACTCAAAACCTGAGGCTGAGCCATAGAAATCTTTTCCTCCAAGTAGCCATTGTGGAAGGCATTATTAATGTCAATATGTTTAATGGGCCGTTGATTATTAATAGAAATAGTTAATATGATGCAAACTGTTGCATGGTTTACAACTGGGGAAAAAATTTCAATGTAATCACAGCCAAATTTCAATGTAATCATTTGCCTCCTAGCCAAATTTTTTATAGTTTCATTTGAATTTTCTTTTATTTAAATAAACCATTTGCATCCTACAACTTATTGACTAGGAGGCAAATGAACTAAAGTCCAGGTTTTGTTATCTATTAGATCATCAAATTCAGTTTGGGTAGCAGCTTTCCAAGGAGGAGAGGTAAGAGCCTGTTTAACAGTTGTTGATTCAACAGTAGTTTCTGAAAGTGTTGGTTGTATCTTGGTTTAACAATACCTTCCTCTGAACGAGTTTGGATAAGTTGTGTATTTGTAGGTGATGAAGGGGAGGTATAGGGGTAGAAGTGGATGTGGTGATAGAATGTGAAGGTTGAGGAGTGGTTAAATTAGAGACAAGCAACAGTGGATGAATCATGTGGACATTATTTTCTGATATAATATTAGTGTTATTTTACTCATTTAGCTAATCCCACCAACTGGGGAAAGACTTGGTTATTGGCTAATATTATTTGGGAAAATACTTGGTTTATATGAATATATAAGTTTGGGTTAAGAATTGAAAATATGGATACATAAAAGGTGCTTTTCACCTTCCTTCTGGGTGTAATTTCAACTATTTTGTCTAGAGTCCACAAGTGATACAGGCAAATTAATATTTTATAATCTCTGCCAGTTTAAAGTAGTTAACAGAACCTCCTTTGAAGTGAAAAGTGGATAGTGGGAACAGTTGCCAACCCTGCATGAAATACTGTGGCGACGGTGTGGGTTTATGATCACTGAAGGTGTGGCTACTGAGATTGCAGCATGTGATCAGAAAATCATGTTCATCCCTGAATTGTCCCTGATTTCAGTGTGGGATACTTTTCCTATGAATTTGTTTTTATGTCTTTATATTTTTTTAATCTCTTAAGTCCATTCAAATCTTCAAATAAGCCCTCTCCCATATTAATTTGCTGTTGGATACATTTTCCTATTGTATTTCTTTTATTTTTTCTTATTCTTGTACTTTTTTAGTCTTTTTTATCTTTCAAGCCTTTTAGGGTAAGCCTTCAGTTAATTAGTGTGGTGGTTATGCTTTCCTTTTGTCTCTAATAATACTTCTATCATTCCCGGATTAGTTGTCCAGTCTTTTGAGAATGTAAAGTTTTTAGCTCCCCTTAAGTCCTCTTTTTACGAAAATTTGAAGACTTTGTGTTCTCCTTTCTTCTTCTCAGGTCTTCACTATTATACTTGTCTTTCAGACGCTCTTATTTATAAATTATATGTATGTTTAATTTTAGAATTCACAATAGAGATCATCCTGCTATCTGTTTCCTCCTATAGTGTTTTTGGGGTTGATAGCTCCCTGCGGCTATTTGGGATTGACTACTTAGCTGTCAGAATCTCTGACGATTTTCTGAATATAATGTATTCTTGTATTGACAAAATTAAGTAATATAATTAGATGACCAGGCTAGCTGTATGCATTTGTATAAATCATACGTGAATCATTGATCCTTAATTTTTAGATTTAACTCTGTCTGCAGTAGTTATAGGACAAACATAACAATACTGAAAATGGGGACAGCGAAGTGCAAGGGAGAATCTGTGGAGTGAGAGAAGGAGAAGAGACAAATGGATGATGAAAAATCATCTCAATTCATCAACACTTTGGCCATCTACTAAAGTATATAACCACGTTTAAATATTCGAATAGACAGGCCATCTATCATGTGAGATACCCATGGATAACGTCTAGTATCAAGTTTTTTTAATTACCAAAACGATATGATCTATATTCATACTTTATTAATTTACACATGTATTGTAAATATTCCTAATCCGTCTGCCACCATCCTTATTTAGTGTGTTCTCAAACGCATTTAGTCCAAGGAATATGGAAGTCAGAATGCTGGATAAAATGTCCTTTTCTTTCCCTGGTGAAAACATAGATAGTTTATCTCAACTCTTTTAACTCTTAACATGTATAATTGGCCAACTAGAGTTCATAGTTGCTTCATTATTTCTGCCCATTAGGGTATTTTCTACTCTTTTTTTTTTCCGTATATTGAGAATCCATTCCCTGGTTGGTGATGCAGGATAAGAATCATCGATTCATGGCTTTAGATTGTCTTCATCGTGTTTTAAGATTTTACTTGAGTGTCCATGCGGCAAACCAGGCCCCAAATCGAATATGGGACAACCTAGACAGTGTAACATCACAACTTTTAGCAGTTCTAAGAAAAGGATTGCTTACGCAGGATGTTCAACATGATAAACTGGTTGAATTCTGTGTAACTATAGCTGAACATAACCTTGATTTTACCATGAACCATATGATACTAGAATTACTCAGGCAAGACAGTTCTAGTGAAGCAAAGGTTATTGGTCTTCGTGCATTGCTTGCCATTGTCATGTCACCTTCAAGTAAGCATTTTGGTTTTGATATATTTAACGGTATAATTAATCATATGCCTAGCATAATTTTACATGCCTAGAATACTTTATTTTCTTCAGTAAAACTCTCACAGTTTTGTTGAATGAGCAGGTCCTGATATTGGTCACTATATTCCGAAAGTGAAAGCTGCAATTGAATCAATATTAAGGTCATGCCATAAAACGTACAGTCAAGCACTTTTAACATCATCACGGACCACAATAGGTAATTGCTTCTATTGTATGCTAGCTGGATTGAAGGTGTTTAAGTATAAGCATAACAGAAGTAAAAGTTGAATCAAACCTCAATGTTTGTAGAAAACATATTTGTGTTACTAAGTAATGAATTGTGGATTTATTTATTAAAGAATTTTGCTTTGATCTTTATGTGTTTAAAAATCTACTGAAAATTTTTCACCTTATTTTATGATTTAAATAAGTTTCTTTGCGCCTTCAAAGAATTGTTTGATAGATTAGTTTTGTTAAAAAATATATAAGAGGAGGAAGGTGGAGTAGGGATTAAGAATTGAAGATAGTGGAGACGGAATGAAAAAAGAAAAAACTGGGGACAGGAATGGTGAATGTAATTATCCAAATTATATGATCAATTAAGTATATTTAGCATCAATAGAAAATGTATTATTATACATTACAAGTAACAATAACGTCACAATATTTTTTTGATTAGCATTCAAGTGGTATAATCTTTCACTTAAAAACACAGATTGAACACCTGAAACTTTTATGAAAGTTGGTTTCTTGATATAAAATGCATATGATAAAATTTCAGAGTTAAATCCTTAATATCCAATTAAATTGTGCCACCCATTCTTCACAATGAAATTAAATTTTAAAATTAGCTCAAGGTAAGGTAAGATTATGCATGGTTCACACTTCAAGCCTATGGATATTTTTGAGAGTTGAGTTTTGGAGGGAAAAGAAAGAGGTTAAAGTTTTTCATTTCTAATAAAGGTTCACTAAATTAATAACTTTTCAGAATAAAAGATATATAATGATATATTACCGTAAATTTAATATCCCAAGCTTTTGTTTATTTTTAGAAACATTATATAACTTTTTTAAAAATAGAAATATTGTTCTCTTTCCACTGAAACATCATCCTGAAGCTTTATGGTTGATTTAGTTCCCGACAACAATAATTATTGCATGACTTTGGTTTAATGTTTTAATTTTTTAGATCAATCATGAACCTAAGAACAGTATCCTTGATAAAATATTAGCATATTTAGTACATAAATAGGGTTTGTCAGCTGTATTGGTTGGATCAATGTAAATGCTAGTGATCTGTGTGCAAACATAGATTCAATTAGCATTACTTGTTTCTTGAATAATAATCCCTAAAGTACTACTTTTTTGCACAATAATTTGTCTTATCTACAGTTTATAAGATTTGAACTACTCATGAAAAATGAGAAAAGTACAAGAATTTTCAAATTAATAGCATTTTTTCTCCTCTAAGAAGAGTACTGTTTCTCTAATTTTATTTTTTGATTGTTTCCTAAATCTTTTAAATTGAAATGAAATTTTGTAACTTAATTCTAGAATTATATAATATGTTGCCTTGATAGTCTCTTGGTCTTAATTTTATGACTATTTTTCTTACTTTTTCCAATTTGTTGTGAACATTATATAAAAAGATGTTTACTTAATAATTCTGAAAACATACTTCTTAGAAATGTATATTTCAAGGGTTGCTTTGGCTATTTTACCATTCACGACTAATGTGTTTATTCACTCCAATAGATTTACACAGAGAATGGGGAAAATAAGTGTCTATTTTTGTTTCCACTTTGTTTTCTTGATTTCATGGGCTATGTTTTAGTATCTGCTTCTCCATTTCTGTTTTCTGTCACCTAACTAGTTTTATGGTAGTTAGTCCAGTCTGTTATCAAAATTTATTGAATCTGCTAGGCTATGACAGCTGAGGATTAGTTAAGTAGTTAGACTGTTAGCATTTCCTAATTATAAATATATTTCTAGTCTTCCTTGCAATTTAGTCAATTAATTCAGTTACCTCCTCAGTAATAAAACACAAATTCTTTGATTTCTCACTGAATATATTCTCTCACTTTCCTTCCTTTTCTTGCACAGTACTGATTTCTATCAATGTAAGATAACTTGCAATTAATTTGGAACACTGCCGAACTTGATAAAGTACCAGCAGAATTCAAAGAATAAATATTGTTTCGATTTGAGGACTTCAAGTCATTTAGTCTTTCCACAAAGTATGAGTAAATTGTATGTGAAATGAAGATATTTTCAAACTGGTCTGCCTTTAAGTACATTCATGCTTATAGGTATTAGAGAATTGTGATAGGATTGAAATGTTGCAAACCAGAAAAAACAACTTATTTCCATAGGATGGGACTTCCTTTGTAGTTAACTTTCAAATTTAGGTTTCTATATTTGGTTGACTACTGATTTTCTGCTAGCCATCATGATACCCTGATGTAGGAAGAGAAGATATTTTCAGATTGGTCTGCCTTTCAGTATATTTCTATGGGCATTGGTATTCCAAATTATGACTGGATTTAAATTGTGAAAACTACTCATTTACATAGGATGGGGATTTCTTAGTATTTGTAGTTTATTTCAAGTTAATGTATATTTGGTTAATTAGTTTACTGTTTAATTTCTTCTTGCCATCGTCACACCATAAGAATTCTGTTGTAGATGCTGTAACCAAGGAAAAGTCTCAAGGGTATCTATTCCGATCTGTGCTGAAGTGCATCCCAAATCTAATAGAAGAAGTTGGGCGAACTGATAAAATTACTGAAATAATTCCACAACATGGCATTAGTATTGACCCCGGTGTTCGAGAAGAAGCAGTGCAAGTACTAAACCGTATTGTGAAGTACCTACCCCACCGTCGTTTTGCAGTAATGAAGGGAATGGCTAACTTCATATTAAAGCTTCCTGATGAATTTCCTCTTCTCATTCAAACATCATTGGGACGCCTGTTGGAACTTATGCGCTTTTGGAGATCTTGTCTAATAGATGATAGGATACTACTTGATGAAGATGCAAATTCTCTAGGGCATGAAACTGAGAGATTGAGAAAGTCTTCCTTTCAACAATCAGGCGAAGCAATTGAGTTTCGGGCATCAGAAATTGATGCAGTTGGCCTTATATTCCTGAGTTCTGTTGATAGTCAAATTAGACATACAGCATTAGAGTTATTGCGTTGTGTACGTGCATTGAGGAATGATATTCGGGACTTGAGGATACATGAGCAATCAAATCAAATGTTAAAGTATGAAGCTGAACCAATATTTATTATTGATGTTCTGGAAGAACATGGGGTACACATCTTCCTCTAATATTTTTATAGCTCAATTTTAGCAAAAATGATATTTTGTCTTATCGTCTACAATAATTTATTTAATGTGTTTTTTATTTGATAATTTTGAGTTCAATCACGTCGTATTGAGCTTTGATCCCCTTAAAATTTTAAATACCTTGGCATTGCAGGATGAAATTGTTCAGAATTGCTATTGGGACTCCGGGCGACCGTTTGATTTGAAACGAGAACCTGATGCCATTCCTCCAGAAGTGACACTTCAATCTATAATATTTGAGAGCCCTGATAAGAACAGGTGGGCTCGGTGTCTTAGTGAGCTAGTCAAATATGCTGCCGAACTTTGTCCAAGCTCTGTTCAGGAAGCAAAGTAAGTTTCTGTCTATTTTACTTTCTTCTGTCTTCAATGAAATCCAAGCTCTGTAGAACTACATGTATTTAGTGGAAAATAATGTGCATTGAGATCCACATAGAAACCTAAAGGAGACTGGTTTTGGTTAAGAAGCCAAGAAAACATACTAAATTTATTTATGTTTGACAGATCCCACAATACTTGTATAATAATTATCAAATCCCTTTACCTAGGGTAGGAACCTAATAAATAAAATAAAGTCAACCCTGTATTTTTTTCTTCATAATAGAATATGTGAATAAAATACAAGAAAGTAGTTGGAATTTGGAAGATAAAGAATCCTCCAAAGAAATGGGAGAATGAATAACCGAGACAAATGAGAAAATTCAACAGAGCAAGTAACGTTACACTAAATAGAAGTCAGTGATTTAAGCTTGCTCCACCTCAGCTGCTTTCCCAGGATACATCCTTAAAAATGATCATTAAGTCCCAACTAAATGCCCAGAGGTAACATAGATGTACATTCAGATGAAAATTTAGCCTCTCCCCATGTACTCAAACGACTGAAGGGTGTCAAAAACATTGTTTGTAGAACCTAGGGCACACTCAACATTCACCATAACCACCCTATTATGTATATAGGAAGCAGCAGAGCATTGTAGGAAGGCGGGAGGAACCAATTCTGAACCAGCACCACAAACCACACATCTGGATGCGGCTTGTGTAAAATAAAAGATTTGACATTACCAGGGAAGGGAGCTTTGGATTTCCACGTACCTCTATTAATGTAGAATGAGTAACCAAAAATGTGTATGTTGGCAAGTTATTCCCTTGAGAAACAAGGCTAGAGTCCTCTTCAGAGCAAACTGCCCTTTCAGCTCAGGTTTCAGATACACCAAAAATATCAGTTATCAGACACCCCTCAACAATTTAGGTAGTATTTGGTCCAACATTTTTTGGGTTTGTCTTAAAATTAGTTTATTTTCCAATGAAGAATACATTTTATAGAAAGTTTGTAGAGAAGTTAATTTTGGGAATTATTTTCTACTCTCTCTCTACACCAAATTCCAACTTTAAAATGAAGTTTAACCTACAAAAAATATAAAATTACCAAATAGATTTAATTTTAATTTTGAAGTTCTTATTTCTTCAAAGGAAAAAGTTGGGGTTCAAAAGACGACAGGGAATGGTGCATGGAAGCAGGACCACTCCTTTTGGAAGTGTAATCCCGTGGTGAAAAAAAGAAAAGAAAACCTAGATATGTTTTTAGTCTTTTTTTCTTATTTATGTTCCTAGGTTAGAGTTAGGGTTGAGGCCCAACTTCCTTTTGTACTCTAATTCATATATGAATGTAACAGTCCCAATGTCATATGACAATATCTTTGAACCCTAAACATTTCTTTCAAGTGGAGGGAATTGTTGAAATCCAATAGAAGCTCCAATTCAAACAATCCCTGTCATTTAAAGTATGAGAAAAGTAACTTCTAGAAAAATGGAACATTGAATGCTATAAAAAATTGTGGCAAGAGCTATGTACAAAACTTGATGATAGAGATGTGCTAAAATTTCCCTTAACAGTCATTCTTCTACAATCTTATTCCTATCCAGTTTTCTTCCCCAAATTTAATGAGAAAATTACCACTCCCAAGGGAAGCAAAGATGTAAAGGACACATGTAGAAGAAATTAAAACAGTGACTTAGTTTTTTCTATCTGATGGAACACAACGGCATCTCTTTATTTTTGCAGCCTACAACATCTAGTGTGAAAAAGGCATTGATTTATATAATCATAAATATTTATTCAATTTTTCTTTTTTAGTACTTGATTTGCCAGGCTAACAATATAAAGTGTCACTACTTTGACGAGTAGTTTTTTGTACAAAATGTTAAAAAATATCCTTCCATTGAGCGATTTATCATTATTATTGTAAAAAACAAGAAAAAGAGTTTTTTACTCATTTGCATTGCTCCCCCTCCCCTCTTCATTCAGTCTGTTTAAAATTGCTATCTAAAACTTGGTAATATCACTTAAATTTGGGCAGGAAAGAGGTCATGCAACGACTTGCTCATATCACACCTGCTGAATTGGGTGGAAAAGCTCATCAGTCACAGGATGTTGATAATAAACTGGACCAGTGGCTTATGTATACCATGTTTGTTTGTTCATGTCCACCAGTTGCTCGAGAGTCTACCAAAGATCTTTACCATCTAATTTTCCCTTCACTAAAATCAGGATCGGATGCTCACGTTGTAAGAGTGCCTCACTTCACTTATCAATTAGTCTATCTTCCCAAGCAGTCTATGTCAAAGGATGAAGAATTGCATGCGTCCTTGATGTATTGTTTAATTATTTCCATGTTTTCTAAACCAAAATTGTTAAAGAACAATCTGAGAATATCTTTTGTTCTTTTTAGTTTTTACAATATTTTATTTCTTTTTCAAATAATTAAAACTAATTTTAGTTCCTTAATTGATTGAATGGTAAGAAAAACCAATCAAATCTGTAATTTGAATGAAGAAATTCAAGATAAAGTTGGATGCTAGTTATGCATGGTAAATGCTATGCCGTCATAGTGTCTTTATTTTACTTCTACATACAAATTTAGTGGTGACAGGTTTAAAAACTTTTTACACTTTAATATCAAATATTAATCTTTCATTTAACCTATCTTGATCTCATTGTTTTCATTATAGTTATTCTAATTGATATGCATGAGGGATAGCAGATGTATTTAGAATGTTAACTGCCTATAGTTTGACCTAATTTACCATATCCACATCATAATTAACCCTTATAAACTATGATCTATCTTCCTAGAGAAAGTTTGTGCTTAATTTTGTACTCTTATAAGAAATTAAGTGTTATGAACCAATTATCTCAAAATCTGAATCTGTTACGGGAAAACAAATGGAGGATTTCATTATTTTTGGTGGATAATTATTTTGACTTCACTTGTGCATTTCCCTCACAAAAACTGGTTTTATTTATTCCCATTATATGCTACATGGAAATGCAAGTATGCATAGGATTTATGTTTTTATTCAAGGTTTAGTTGGTGCATAATGTTTGTACTTTTTTGTGGAGGTTTTATTGGCCCGGCTGTTGATTTGGCATAAGATAAAATATTGGCTTCTATATAGGGTATAAAGATTAATTCAGAAATTTGATTTCATTTCTTGCAATTGTTCCTGTCGAACATTATTTTTTGAGGTTTCACCGTTGAAAAAAATTCCAGCTATAGACTATAGTTGCTAGTTTTAATCCTTTGCAATGTGGAAGAGGTATTAGGGGGATTGTTGGCCGCTAATTACAGAAATTTTATACATAAAGGCATTTATATTTCTACTTCCAAATTTTTAACCCATCAATTTTGTTGTATTTTTTATTGCTAACAAGGTTTCTGATATAGCATGCAGCGACCATGGCTCTTGGCCGCTCACACTTGGAGGCATGTGAAGACATGTTTGGCGAACTTTCATCTTTTATTGATGAGGTTTCTTCTGAGTCGGAAGGGAAAGCAAAGTGGAAGGTATTGTTATGCACGTGTGAAAGTTGTTTTATTTCTATCAGCCATTGAGGACTTGAAGTAGGTGGTTATCATAAGTTATTTATGATAAGGACAATATGATAGTGAAAGAATTAAAAAAAGTGTTTTGAACTCATAAAACCTTCAAGCATGGGCAGAGCCAGGGCATGGGGATTCCATGGCCACCCCCAAAATCTTTATTTCTCTTTTAAGATTATATTTATATAAATATTTTAAAGTCTTCTAAATTTTCCTTTAAAGTTTCAAGCATATTATTTATAGACAATACTTCATATTTCAACTTATAAGTCCTGAAATTATGAACTCTTTTGTTGTACTATTGTTTTAGATGCTTCTTTTCCTTGATTATTGAATTAGAGTCTGGAACTTACAAGCTATTTATATTTTATTTGATAGAGTCAAAAGGCTCGCCGCGAAGAGCTCCGTGTCCACATTGCAAATATTTATCGTACTGTTGCAGAAAATATATGGCCTGGCATGCTAGCTAGGAAGCCAATGTTCCGCCTCCATTATCTTAAATTCATTGATGAGACAACTAGACTAATCTCAACATCTCTTGAAAGTTTTCAAGACATGCAACCATTCCGCTATGCACTTGCTTGTGTTCTAAGATCATTAGCCCCTGAATTTGTTGATTCAAGATCTGAGAAATTTGATGTTAGAACTAGAAAGCGTCTGTTTGATCTTCTTCTCTCCTGGTGTGATGATACAAGCAGTACATGGGGTCAAGATGGTGTCAGTGATTATAGGCGTGAAGTTGATCGTTACAAGTCTTCTCAACATGCAAGATCAAAAGATTCTGTGGATAAAATATCATTTGATAAAGAATTGAATGAACAGGTTGAGGCAATCCAGTGGGCATCTATGAATGCAATAGCATCACTTTTATATGGACCATGTTTTGATGACAATGCAAGGAAAATGAGTGGCAGGGTGATATCTTGGATTAATGGTTTGTTTTTGGAGCCTACACCAAGGGCTCCATTTGGTTTCTCACCAGCTGATCCAAGAACTCCATCATATACCAAGTACCAGGGGGAAGGTGGCCGAGGAGCTGCTGGTCGTGACAGGCTTAAGGGTGGCCATCACCGTGTTTCTTTAGCAAAATTGGCTTTGAAGAATCTTTTGCTTACAAATTTGGACTTGTTTCCCTCCTGTATTGATCAGGTAATATTTCCATGCTATATTGTACATTACATCCTTGTAAACATTGCTCTCCAAGTGAACAATTAGCAATGAAGTCTAATCATATACAAAGAGAGATAGGGTGAAGAATAATATAGACTATCTAATCATATACAAAGAGAAAGGAAGCTATTTGTAGTACAGTACTACATTGAGACTTGCACTGCAAACTAATGAAGTTGACAAACTGCCGACTCAGCAGCTAACTAATAGAAAAGTCACTGTACAAATAGAATTACTATACTATTATATTTTATCTGAACCTTGTGCTGTAACCTAAGGTTAGTAATTTGATCTCTATTGTCTCCATTCTTATAAATAAGAAAATGGATTTGTATACGATTGAAAATTAAAAATAAGGTTGTGCATTATGTACTCTTTTAAGTCTAGTGTTCTCTTGCATGAAGAAACATGTTATAGATTTATTCATGAGCCTGCACTTAATAGCAAAAGCTTTTAGGACAGATAGTTCGTTCATTACAATATGTGATTTTTATTATTAAATGTTTTTATTTTTATTTAATACCTGCAATATAATTTTGACCCTAAACAAAAAATTGGTTGTAGTTTTAAAAATCTTTAAAACTTACAACTAAAACCATCACAAACGGGCCCTAAGGGAAGGAGAACACCCGATTTTAAATCACTCTTGTAATTATTCACTTTACTTATTAAAAGGTAGTCCCATATGTCTCACTATTATAAACTCTGATGCCTTAACATCTATCACCGAACAGACCACCTCTTTTGGTCTTTAAGAGTGAAGGTTGAGATATGTTTGGAAAGCTGTAACTTGGAAATCAAATAACATGAACAGGGAGGAAATATCATTTTGTTCTATATGCAGTATTTTGTTAATTTTTCCAGACATAATTTCCTCAAGCATACCCTTCTGATCTGTGGCTAAGCTATTCATTTTATCTACTTGATTTCCTGCTTTTCAGATCATGCTTCACTTGTATTTTTCTTCTGTGTAGTTGTCTTTTTTGTCATACTGGCATTATAGCTTATCCATCTTAATTGATCTTTGCAGTGCTACTACTCTAATTCTTCTGTAGCTGATGGGTACTTCAGTGTACTGGCTGAGGTCTACATGCGCCAAGAGATACCAAACTGTGAAATACAGAGATTATTGAGTTTGATCCTTTACAAGGTGGTAGACCCATCAAGACAAATTCGTGACGATGCCCTTCAGATGCTGGAGACACTGTCTGTTCGAGAATGGGCTGAGGATGGTATTGAGGGCTCTGGAAGTTATCGAGCTGCTGTTGTTGGTAATCTTCCTGATTCCTACCAACAATTCCAATACAAGCTTTCCTGTAAGCTTGCCAAAGATCATCCTGAGTTAAGCCAACTTCTTTGTGAGGAGATTATGCAGAGGCAGTTAGATGCTGTTGACATAATTGCACAGCATCAGGTCTTAACATGCATGGCTCCATGGATCGAGAACCTTAATTTCTGGAAACTTAAGGAAGGCTGGAGTGAAAGGTTATTGAAAAGTCTCTACTATGTAACATGGCGGCATGGAGACCAATTTCCTGATGAAATTGAGAAACTTTGGAGCACAATTGCTAGCAAAAATAAGAATATCAGTCCTGTTTTAGATTTCTTGATCACAAAAGGCATTGAAGATTGTGATTCAAATGCATCAACTGAAATAAGTGGCGCATTTGCTACATACTTCAGTGTTGCAAAACGGGTAAGTCTGTATTTAGCACGAATATGCCCTCAACGAACCATAGATCACCTAGTGTTCCAATTGTCTCAGCGACTACTAGAGGATAGCATGGAGCCAGTTGCAAGTAAGGGTGATGCCGGTGCAAACTTTGTGCTAGAATTCTCACAAGGTCCTGCTGTGGCCCAAATGACATCAGTTACAGATAACCAACCACACATGTCTCCATTGCTTGTAAGAGGTTCTCTTGATGGTCCCCTAAGAAATGTTAGTGGGAGTTTGAGTTGGAGAACAGCGGGTATGACGGGCCGGAGTGTATCAGGTCCATTAAGTCCAATGCCTCCAGAGTTGAATATTGTCCCAGTAAGTGCTGGGCGATCAGGCCAGCTCCTTCCAGCCTTGGTTAATATGTCAGGACCCTTGATGGGTGTTAGAAGTTCAACGGGGAGTTTACGTAGCCGCCATGTTTCACGAGACAGTGGAGATTATCTTGTTGACACTCCAAACTCAGGTGAAGATGGACTGCTTGGTGGGAGTGCTACACATGCCGTGAATGCAAAAGAACTTCAATCAGCCTTACAGGGTCATCAGCAGCACTCACTTACGCATGCTGATATAGCACTGATTCTTCTTGCTGAAATTGCATATGAAAATGATGAAGATTTCCGCCAATACTTGCCGCTACTCTTTCACGTTATATTTGTTTCAATGGATAGCTCAGAAGACATTGTACTAGAGCATTGCCAGCATTTACTTGTTAATTTGCTATATTCCCTAGCAGGACGCCACTTGGAACAGTACGAGGTGGAAAATAATGATAGGGAGAACAAACAGCAGGTTGTGAGCTTAATTAAATATGTCCAATCAAAGCGAGGAAGCATGATGTGGGAGAATGAAGATCCAACAGTTGTCAGAACTGAGCTTCCAAGTGCAGCACTTCTTTCTGCCCTAGTTCAGAGCATGGTGGATGCTATCTTCTTCCAAGGAGATCTTCGGGAAACCTGGGGAGAAGAAGCACTTAGGTGGGCTATGGAGTGTACATCAAGACACCTTGCCTGTCGATCACATCAGATCTACCGAGCACTTCGACCAAGTGTAACAAGTGATGCTTGTGTATCCCTTCTTCGGTGCCTCCATAGATGTCTGGGAAATCCAGTACCTCAAGTTTTGGGATTTGTTATGGAAATTTTGATGACACTGCAAGTTATGGTGGAGAATATGGAGCCAGAGAAGGTGATACTCTACCCACAGCTGTTTTGGGGATGTGTTGCTATGATGCACACAGATTTTGTACATGTCTACCGCCAGGTCCTAGAACTATTCTCTCATGTGATTGATCGTTTATCTTTTCGTGATCGTACAACAGAAAATGTACTCCTTTCAAGCATGCCCAGAGATGAACTTGATACTAGTGATTTAGGAGAATTTCAGCGTACAGAATCTAAAAGTGGCTATGAGCCTCTACAAGAGGGAAGTTTGCCAACTTTTGAAGGGGTTCAGCCTCTTGTTCTTAAAGGACTTATGTCGAGTGTCAGTCACAGTGTTGCTATTGATGTTCTCTCTCGTACAACAGTTCACTCATGCGATTCTATATTTGGTGATGCTGAGACAAGACTCCTGATGCACATCATAGGATTACTCCCTTGGCTATGTCTTCAGCTTAGCAAAGACATAGTGATAGGTCCAGTTTCACCACTCCAACATCAATATCAAAAGGCTTGCTCTGTTGCTGCCAATATAGCTATTTGGTGTCGAGCAAAATCTTTTGATGAATTAGCTACTGTATTTATGATTTACTCTAGAGGAGAGATTAAGAGTATTGATAATTTTCTGGCTTGTGTTTCACCACTTCTATGTAATGAATGGTTTCCAAAACATTCAACCTTGGCCTTTGGACACTTGCTACGGCTACTAGAAAAAGGACCAGTTGAGTATCAACGTGTCATTCTACTTATGCTCAAAGCTCTCCTCCAGCACACACCAATGGACGCTACCCAGAGTCCACATATCTATGCAATTGTGTCCCAATTGGTGGAAAGCACTTTGTGTTGGGAGGCACTTAGTGTGTTAGAAGCCCTTCTACAAAGTTGCAGCTCATTGACTAGTTCTCATCCATATGAACAAGGTTCATTTGAGAACGGAATTGGTGGAACTGAAGAGAAGTTCCTTGCTCCACAAACGTCATTCAAGGCCCGAAGTGGCCCTCTACAGTATGGTTTGGGATCAGGGCTGGGCTCAATTTCTAACCCTGGACAGTTTGGTGCAACTGATTCTGGGATGACACCAAGAGAGGTAGCTTTGCAGAATACTCGTCTGATTCTTGGTCGGGTATTGGACAGAAGTGCATTAGGTAAGAGAAAGGACCAGAAGAAGCTAGTCCCTTTTGTGCCCAATATTGTTAACCCGTGATTTTATAATTCATTTTCTGTATATATTATGTCCAAAGATGTAGGGATTGATACAGGATATACTTTGTACATACTACTACATAGGCTGGGATGAGAGTTTTGTAACATTCTGTGTAGTTGTAGACAAATCATTTTGTTGTCAAATAGCATGCATAATTTAACTTCCATGGTAACACTGCAATGTAGTTCTTCAGCTGTTCCCTCTTTTCCTATTCGACTTTGCTCCATTTATATTTACTTTCTTTTTAGTTTGAGGAGCATAAATTCAGAGCGAGATGTATATAATTGGAAAAGGAGAATAATTTTTTTTATTTCACTCTGCCATCAAAGAAAACCCTGGAAATAATTTAGTTAGTTGATGCACAGTAATTATTAGACATTCATACTAGATCGTATAAGCCATTTGGAACAACGTCATTGATTGGTTTTCCTTATTTCTTTTTAACAAGTTAACTCAAACCAAAACGGAGAAGTTGAATTTATGGATTTTCCTGTATTCTTATATAATTAATGCGATTATCAAATATTGTGCATAACTAATCCAATCAAATGTTAAACCATACGAAAGAGTGTTGCAGTAACAATTATTATTTAAGATATCTGCTATTTTAACGATGTAATGAGCATATAATAAAAGATAATACATGGGGTAACCATCGTAGATATTTCAATAATACAATATAAGTAGATCTTAGGCGACTATACAATTTTTTGACAGGATGAACCTCTGTGTGCTTAATGGTGATGTTAACTCTGATTGGTAGTTGGCGCAGCGGGCAAAGATGCTGAGTGTGATGCAGTTATTTATAAACTGGATCAAGAATTTCAAGGAAATAGAGGCATGACAAACATCACAGTATATCTGTGACGATCATTTATTTATAAACTCTATGGAGACAATTTATATAATACCCAACCAAATCCTACACATTGTTGTTCCTAATCTCATGGACAATTTTGAATAAAATCATTAACCACGTGTCAAAAATTCTATCAGTTTATAATGAAATATTAAAAAAGGAATTGTAGCACATGTGAGAAACTCGAGTATAGGAAAAAACTTTTCCAATGGCTATGATCAAGTTCCCAGTGATCCAAAGATGTATTTTGCTTTAAATTAATTTAGTTTTTGAAACAAAACCTGAAATTTCGATCATCTTTCTATTAAAGCTTGTTATGGTATCATACATGTGTGTTGTCACTTTGTCTTCGTGTTTTCAATAATGTGACATTGCATGTGTTGGCTTAACTTCAAACATTCATGTTTAGTTATAATTTCACGTTAGATGTACAAAAGTATGCAAAAACTACTTCAAATACCGTTTTTGGAACCACATCGAAGGAAGAAAAACTACACAAACTATATTATTAGACAAATGGAAGCTCAGATAGAAAAGCTCAAAATAAGAATTGATATTATTGTATTGGGTAGATGAAGCCTTGAAACACAGGAACATAAAAAATAAACTCTTCACGACATCAATAATCACATTGCAATAATCACTAAAAAAAATTATTAAATCAGTCACCAAAATTGTCAATCAAGATTTGAACATATTACAAATAAATCTTTGCTTGTCTATAATCAACCCATTTGAAAGTATGAATGTAGCTTCAAAGAAAGTTTGAAGAAAAATAATTCATGTATAAGTTTTATTCTTCTTGATCAATGCATAAGCATCACTGTATATAGCCACAGCGTTTGACAAGACTGCCAAGACTATCATAAAGACAGATAGAATCTTGTCCTTTTTAGTTGCCACGTTGTGTTGATCCCTGAAATTGAAACATGAATTCTTAATGACAAGTTTTCCAATTGGTAAAATAAAAAATTTCCATCTTAGAATTTGGATTTACTTTAGACTTCATTCTATCTACATCCTAACAATACCCAGTTTTCACATTAAAATATTATATTACTCCATGAATATTTGATTTTAGAATAAAAAAAGTTGGTAGAAAAGGATGATTTTCGGGGGGTGTTTCTCAAAATAGTGGGTGTTCATTGTCCTTTACCAATTACCTAATGCCATATTTCCTAGATAGTTATTTCATCAATGCAAGTTAGAAGAACAATATCCAATAATCAAGTAAACTAATCAAATACGTAATTCTATTTAATTTTCTATTTCACTCCACAAGAGAGATATGATGTAATCAAAAGACTTGAGCTTAGAGAATGTGGCTATCAAACTCACCGAAGAGTGATGGCAGCTGGAAATATGAATGCTACACAAACAGCAGCTGTTGCTCCAGTAAACTGGAAAATATCCCATATGCTGGGTACGAAGTTTGCTCCCTGGAAGATAACAGCAATAAGTGAAGTAGTAATTGATGAAAACCTCAAGTTATCTTGACTCAAAGGCCTAGATGATGGAAATAAGAGACCATCTAAGTTTAGACGCATGGCATAGAAGACAACAGGAAATACAAGCACAAGATGTGCAGCATAGCTGAAACGAACTGCATCATTGAGCACAGAACCCAAAGGAATTCCAAGATCAGTGTCAAAATTTGCAAGCACATCATCAAGTGTTGCTTCACCAAATAGGAGGAACCCAAAGAAGCTTGTCAGTAAGTACACCGAAGCACATAGAACAAGGGAAGTACGTGCAACGCCATGCATCTGAGAGGAGTCCTCAAGTTCATTATCTATGCTGTGAACTGCAAATAGAGTGCATGCAAATGCAATCTTCAGACCATATTTTCATGAAGCAGACAGTTAGATCTAGATACTAACTGCAACCATGTCATGCTACTTTGGAACTGAAACTTTACACCAGTTGACCTTGTTTAACAGTACTTACGGAATCAGTTTGACAATTCTAAATCACTTCAAGCTAGGGGTGATCATAATAACCAGTTACAAAAATTTAACTATAATCATAACTAATCTGTTATTATTTAATTGATTATAATAACTATTTGCATATGATTATGGTTAGGTCATGCAAACAGTCTAAACATGAGTAGCCCTACTTCTAGCAAGAAGCATAGGAAGCAAAATGTATATTGACATTCATCATGTTGCTGACAAAAACGAACTATAACATGAATAAGAATTTTGAAGTCATGATGTGCTGGCAGCAACAGACAGAAATAACAATGATATTTTATTTTCAAATTTTTATCTGTCAGGTTGATCTCACAACATTTCTCAAGTAAATTATTTACTACCTTATAGTTATATAAGTATAAAAAAGGGGAAATGAAATCTACACAAATGCCTAAAAAGATTTTCATACCGTTGTAGTGGCAGATAAAGGCAGTCACAAGAACAGGAACTACAGTGAACAGTTCCAAAACTGATGCCAGATCTGTAATGATTGGGAAGAGTCTGGGCATCTCAATGCCTCCAATTATAATCTTGAAGATTGAGATTCCAACAGCAATGACTAGAAAAACTACTGCTAGTCCAACTGATAATGCAGATGTGAATTTCAATGAATCTGAAACAATCACAGAGAAGGCACATAAACTCTAAATAAGATTTGAATAGAAAATGAGCCTAGATGTAGCATGAAAAGCAATCTCCCAGGATATCATTCCATCATATAACTTGAACACAAAATATATTGCTCAAAGGATTTAATTAGTTGGAATGAAAATCAAGATGTATGAAGAAGCACAAAGCAATGAAATGGTTCTAAAAATGTAGTCATGTCTATAATTGTGTATACAGGAACAAATTTTGCAATATAGTAAGTAGCATACACAGGAACAAAATAACACACTTATCTCCTAAATCAGTTTTTTGTCCCCTAATTTCTACCAAGTGTGGACATAATAAGAACAACTATTAGCATGAAATTAATAGAGATTCTAGATTCCCAAAGCCTAGATGATTGGATTAATAGAAATGGGAGGAATGAAGGAGTTCAAGGAATATAATGGATTGCCATTATTATTGTTTAGATTTTTGAAACAAGGTGGGATGGAAATGGAACCTGATTAAATCAATTTGGTTGTCAACACTTCCAACAAAGTTTTAAGTTATTTGAACTGACAACCACCTTTTGAGCAACCACTTAGCCTTGTAACAAACACAACCCCATTGGTAGTCAACACCAGAACTTGAAAAATTCACAGTGCTTCGGTCATTTTCCTCACATTGTTGTCTAATTTATGGCAAGTCATTTTCAGTCATTTGTGATTTAATTAGCGCCACGGCTATTAATAAATTCACCAGTCATATCTTTTTACTTGAAATAATGACAAAAACTCTCACCAATTCTCTTAAAGCTGACCAAAGGTGCAAACACAGCCAGTGTTGTAAACGAAAGAACAAACGTTCTTCCAGTCCACCAGTGGACTCCAAACCATCCTTCAAGGACACCAGAATGGTGAGTTCCACCAGAAGATGTTCCAGAAATCACATCACCTTCATCATGAACAACACAAAACTGAATTAGACAAGATTAATGAGTAATCAAGGACAACCAAAACATTTTGAAAATTGAAGTATTTGGCTCAGGAGTAAAGTCCTTACCAATAATAATCATGTAAATAACCAACACACCAATGTTGTTGACTGTAACACACATCTGCACCAAAGCTTTCCCATATTTTCCAAAAGCATCCCCCATGAGACTCCCATAAGAGGAAAGATTCCCTGCCCTGGAAATCCTAATCATGAATTCAATTGACTTCTCTGTCAAGAAACCGGTTAAGATTATAGCAAGAAGACCAGGCACCATCCCCAGCTTTTTCACACACGCTGGCAACCCCATGATTCCAGCACCAATAATTGTAGTGGACAAGTTGAAAACTGCCCCAGAAAATGAAGCTCCGTTAAACTCATCAAACCCTGCAGCATCACTCTTCTCAACCTTTGGTATCAAAGGAGCATTCTCATCAACAACTCTCTTGTTACTTCTTGATCTTTGCTCCTCTGCCTCAGATGCAACACTTCCACTCCTCATCTTCACCTTCCGATTTTACTTTTTTATGAAAATTTAAAATGAGCTAAGTAATTTCCTGAAAAACAAAAGCACCCATTGT